GTTTGTGTTTATGTGTATTTAAATAGTGGTGTGGAGTGTTGGTTGGGATTATTGGGACGGGGGTGTGGGGGGTAGGGGGCAGCGCAGCGTGAGACTGGCGGGCCTATAATCTTGAGTTTTTTTTTTTGAGATTTGGAAACGCACGCAGGGTTGTGGCGCGTCATCTTCAGGGGAAGATATTCACTGAAACTATTGCAGCGGTAGGTCTCCCCCCCCCACTCTGGATTATTTTTGCCGCGGAGTTTGGGATTTTAGTTTCCGGGGCTCTTGGCCTGCAGGCGTTGTAGTCTCGTAGGCTGTTGTTAAAATCTATTCAAAGTGTCACGTGTGATGTTGATACGTCTCCAGGAGATCTCATGGAGCGGCGCAGGAAAGGGCGCTCGATGTTTACGACAAGGTAGTGGGAAGTTTTGGTGCTCGCCGCTCGCTGACATCGCCTTCTCTGCGTTGGATGTGATATTTCCTCGCCCTATATTAGCACTCCTGTGTTATTGTTGAAGGGGGACGCTGGTCGAAGTCGTGGTTTGATGATGCAGGTATTTAACCCAATCGTGTCTGGACGGCACTAGAGGTTTGTTTGCTTGTTCGGTTCCGAGGTTTAGTGCGTGCCATCCCTCAGCGCACGTGAAAAAAGAAAGGTGGAACCAGTTCATTTTTGCACGCATGCATCACGTTGCTTGGTGAGTTTATTCTTTGGTTCAGGCCAGGATGGTAACTCAAAAAAAGAAACCGTGGCGGCTCAACGTTCCAATATGATGCTGCCAAACGCGTGCACCCAATGTTTTCTGTTCAGCCAGGTTCAATGCTAGTACTGCTGTAGATGAAAGACTCACACCCCTGCTCACACTCTTAAAAAAAAATCAGTCTGACCAAAAGTCAGTACAACGGCCAGGATTTTTTCTTGTCTTGCGTCAAAAATAAAACTTCATCTTCTACAGCAGTAGAGAGAGAGGCAAAAAGTCCAGGAAAACTCACCATGGATTCGCTGCTATGTGTGGGTAAGTAACAGCAGACCTTCATCTACCTACGTACTGATGTATGCATATGATCTCGTTACAACTGCTGCAGCTGTATGCATGTGGTCTATGCATGGCTAAAAAATGAATCAAAGCTTCGCGCGATGAATAGTCTAAAAACAGGCACCACGCACAATAGAACGGAGCTCGGGTGAGTGCGTTTAGGTGTTCGGGTCGCGCCGGCCATGGAACGGCCTCTCGGGGTCAACCCACAGACCTCTGCAACACTAGTATTGTGCAGCCGTAACTCGTTATTTTTTGTCTCACATTGGACCAGGATGCTTACATACGTACCCGGCTGTTTTTTGGCACACCCATGCGGATGTGGGTTGACCAATCAGTTTAAAGCTCGGGGCCAAAAATCCTCGAGTCCCCCCGCATTTTCCGTCCAGGACGAGATGTTGGCTCTGGGCTCCCACATATGTAGTCAACGTCCACAGCGCGTACGTCGCGACCTGTGCGAGAAGCATATTTTCGGCACAGCAGCACGAACTGAGGTATATACACGCACGTGTCGAGGTAGGAGAGGCGCTACTACACCACCACGGGGAGAGAATCTGAGGAACGGTGAGACTTTACCGTTGTTGAGGGATGGAGAGGGAATCTGGGCGGGTTGCATGATCAGTCCTCGTACAGCAGTGCGCGATGTCACAGCCCGACCTCAGCGACTGAACAACTGATGGCCATGATGGCCAAGAGATTCTAGCAGTAGGTCGACCGTAGGGTGGCCAGACGCGCCTGGACCTCAAACTTAGACCTGTACACCCAGATTAATTTGCATACGGTTAAGTACTAGATGTTTCACAGCCGGCGCGTTTCACACATGGCTTTAGACTATGTACGGGCGCAGAGCGAGCCAAACCACAGGGTGCGCCCGTCCTCAGGTCGAGAGGAAGGCGACATCATAAGGTTCACCACGATGGGTCGTGAGTGGCCGAGATTACAGAGGGGTCCGTTTTTTGTAACAGAGGCCTTCTTTCCCCTTTAGCGCGGACGAACCTCCTCATCATGGCTGACTCAACAACAACGTTCTTATTTTTTTTGTGCTTCAAATCTCGTTGCCACTGTACAGTACATGCTCACCTGCAGCCATTCAAGGGGAAGTGACGATCGAGCGCCATGAGCACGTCATGTGCCCAGCAACTTGTAGAGCTTCCACCAGCAGCGTGGGCGGGCACCCCCACTACCTCCACGCCCATCATCACCGCCGACAACAGATCGGCGGAGAGAAGGTACAGAAAGAATGTGAAGAGAAAAGCTGCAAGAGTAAAAAAATATGAGCGAAAACGGGAGATCTGCTCGCGACCAGCGAGCGAAGCGGATTCGAGGCAGCAGCAGCAGCAAGGAAAGAACGGTAAGGTCCGAAGGAATTCAGCCGTGTCAGAGGTCGAGATGGCCCGGGAGGTAGAGGTAGGGAGTCAAGCGGCGGAAACCACGAAGCCCGTTAAAGAAGCAGGTGCATCGCCGTTGTCGTCATCAAAGGTGGCGGAGGCAGTAGCAGCACCAGCAGCGGGGGCGATGGTCACAGAAGTCCTTCAGCTGGATAAGAACGCTTCCATCGAGCTGGGCGAAGCTCTGCCGAACAGGGAAGAAGCGGAAGCGAGCTCCGCTAACAGTAGCGAGATAATTCTCCTAGGAGGAGGGGCGGCGAGGGCGGGAGGGACGAAGGCTCCGGAAATCTCGAAACCCGCTCGCTCGTCCACGCGCAGGGCTGCGGTCAAGCTCGCAGAGGAGAGGCGGCTCAAGAAAGCGACCAAGCAGAGGGAGGCGCGGCAGCGCAAGAAGGACCGAAGGGCCGAGGGCTCGAGACAGGATGCCTCGGCGCGGCAGGACGAAGAGGCGGCCATAAGGCATCAGCACGACTTGGACATGGCGATCACGGCCGCCGCTGCCTGGCAAGAGAGGCTAGCCGAGATCCAGCGCAACGTGGCCGTGGGTCGCGCCCAACAGCAGGCGCGAGAAGGGGAGCGCGAGAGGGCAGCCGCCGCGATCCAGGCGGCCTTGATCAAGGCGGTGGCGCGCCGGCGGTGCCTCCGGCCTTATGCCGTCCGGGCGATGCAGGCCGATAAAGCCGCCACTGAGAGCAGGGCGCAGCGCCGGGAGCGCGAGAGGGTAGGTGCCGCAGCGGCCGTGATCCAAGCGACCTGGGGGAGGCCTGCCGTCCGCACGCGGTGCCGTCGAGCGTACACCCTCCGCACGGGCGAACGGGACCGGCGAAAGTGGGGTGCGCGCGTCATCCGCGCGGCCTGCTACGCATATGGTGTGGCGAGGCGCACGGCGGAGCAGCCAAGCCCCGAGACGCAGAAATCGGCCGCAGCAGAGAAGAAGAGCACGGCGACCAAAGATACCACCGCGGCGGAGGTAGTGGGCACCACCTCATTGACGAACCGAGAGGAGGGAGGGAAGGAGGGAAGTATGACTGCCGTTGTAGAGGCAAAGCGGAAGGAAGTAGACGAGCTGCTGCTGGCGAAGGCTGAACATGCACTGAAGGAAGATCGTGCTAGGGAGGGGGCGGCGACGGAGCGGGAATCGGCAGACCCCGCGGGGACAAAAGTGGCGAGGCCGGCGGAGACCCGAGCCTCGTTGGAACCACCAAAGCCCCGGCGGCAACACATCACCGCGGCTCCTTCTACCCCGCTCCCTCCCGCGGGGCCGTCGACTTCCGAAGAGCCGTCGTCCGAGAGAGACCCGCCCCGCCTCGACCACCACGTCCCTCACCCCCTGCAGCTGGTCGAGGGCAAGACTCTCATGTACGACCCCAGGGAGTTCGACCTGTGGCCGCTCATGGTCCAGCTGCAGGGCTGGTCTCTCGAGCTGGGCACCGCCGACGTGTGGGGAGGCGGAGTCGAGCGAGAGGCGGAGGCGTTCTCTGCGGCGTGCGGGTTCTCGGCGGCCTTCGGGCCGATCGTGCTCAAGCTCGTCACCACCGCCGTCTACGGCAGGGTGTTCGCCGGGGGCGTGAGTGTCTTGCCCATGGACCACGTGGTGTACGCCTTCGGGCAATACTGGGAGAAGGAGATCGGGCCTCGTGATGCCACCGAGCGCTTCTTCAAGCTCGTCAAGGTCGGCAGCGGCACCAGAGCCAGCAGCAGCGGCAGAATCGGGAAGGCAAGGATGAGCGGTTGAGCAATAATTAGAGAATGTATCGCAGGCAGCAGCAACAGTTGTGCCGTGTTAGTCGTCTGGCGGGGGCTTGGGGAGCGGGGGGATGGTTAGAACGGCGTCAAACAAGAGGTTTATGTAGTCCCCTCATTCTCTGGGAATCTTAAACAAACGCGCCGAACAAGTGCAATGTTGTTCCAATGTTTAGCTGTGCATAGCCTGTCCATTGCACACCGACCAGCGTCGTGTTCAGGTGTAGAGGAAAGACGGCCAGCCGTCTGACCCACTTCACCTCGACGTACAGCTGGCACAGACGGTTTAGCCGCGTACCTCTCGCCTCCCGAAACACCCCGTACCCCCCCCCCCCCCCC